GAACCTCACAGGTGGCCGCCCCTCCTGTTTGGAGCTGAAGGCAGACCATCTGGGAAGCCTGGGGGTAGGGAAGGGCCAGGGGGCAGCGCCCCCTCCTCCCTCCCCAGTCCCTCAAGGGGGAGCTGCCATTTCACAGCTGGTCCATTTCACAGCTCCCCAGGAAGGGGGAGGCTCCCCGGGACAGTAGCCCAAAGAGCAGGGGGTCTCCCCGAGAAGGTGCACCCCAGACAGGGCTTGTCCAGATACCACTAGGCTGGGAGCCCTGCTCCGGGGAGTTGGCATGGCTGGCACCTCAGATGGTCCCATCCTGTGGGGGGTTTCCTGGGCCGTTTTGCTGCTCCCAACTGTGGAAGGTTCTCTTGCCTTCTCTTCCCTGCTGTTAGAAGCACCCGAGCCCCTCCAGGCAGCCCCCAGGGCCCGAGTGATGAATCACTGACTTCTTGCCAGGCTGCGGGACAGGGTCGTGATGCAGAGTGGCAGGGGGATGTGGGCTGGGAGTTCCAGGGCACAGCCGGGCTGTCTCCAGGCTCCCCATCCAGCAGCTGCGCCCCCGACACACACCCGGCTCCCTGCATCCCGAGGCTGCCCGCAGCCCGGCAGGGCAGGTCGGCGGGCCCCGGGGAGGAATGCAGGAATGCGGCGTGCCCAGGCGAGGGGCCCTGCGCCCGCCCAAGAGGCTCTCCAGCTGCGCAGGGGCCGGGGCAGATGGAGCCGGGGTAATTAAAGCTGGTGACAGCCGAGGAGGGATAGAGACAGGAACACAGGTGGGATCCCAGGCCCCTCCGCTTGCTCTCCGGGCAGAAGGCTGAAGCGGCCCCCAGGAGAGTGTCACCTTCATGGGGGCAGGAAGAGAAGGCTGCAGGGGCACTGGGCGTCAGTGCACAGCGAGGTCTAGGAGAGGCCAGCTCTCAGCCGCACAAGGCAGGCAGAGTCACCATGAGCCGGGCCTGGCCGGGCCCTCCCAGTTCCCACTCAGACACCCAGACGCTGGTCGCATCTAGGCCATCACGTGGTCAGGAATGGCGTCTGCCTTTGACAGGTCAGGACCCAGCTTCTGTAGGATCTCTGCTCTAAAAGAAGAGGCAGGTGGTGCCGCCCCAGCGGGAGGACAGCAGTTCCAGACCCCACAAGGCTCTAGGCTTCCAGCTTCCTCAATCTCTCCGAGCCCAGGTTGACGTTCCTTCCCCCACCTCACAGCCAGGGGACTGGACAATGTTGTCTTCACTGAGAGCCTGCAAGTGTCCTCATCTGTCCTCCTGTGGCCACGGTGGCAATAAATTAAATGAAGACCACAAAGACCTGGCACCACAGTAGGTGCTTCATATCAAGCAGAAACCACTGCCCGCTCCTTCCTCGGAAGCAAGCACACGCATTCCCTGCCACCGACCCTCTCGCTGCGGCATGGTCATCAAAACACACGTGACAAGGCCGGAGCCTCGGCCCGCACCCCTCGGCTGAGACCCTGAACAAAGGTCCGGCCGTCTGCTCCATGCCATCCCGCAGTCTCTGCGCCGACGCCTGGAGTCATGAGGGTGAAAACGAACAGGCCCTAGGGGGGGCGGCAGGCATGTTCGG